TTTCCCTAACTGCCCATAGCAATGACTTTCGTATTATATTGCATTTTTGTGAAAATATCACCACGTATTGAGATATGATTCAAATGAATTACAGATCTCAGTTGAAAAAATCTTCTACTTCAGCTAGTTCTCTTGCACGAGCTTGCTGGCGTGCCCAACGATCTTCTGCAAGCTTATCGCTTACACCCCATTTTTCGTGATAAATACGTTGTCCACACGTTGGGCATTTTTTACCCCCTATAACAAAATGAAAAATATTTGTAACACAAAATGTAAATATTAACACCTTCGCCTACAATATCGTGCAAGACTCGTTATAAGGAAATCGGGCAAAACATGAGTATTATGAATGAGAGCCATGGTCTATATGTAGGTAGACTATTGTAAACAATACGAGGCAAGTTTGTGGTTAAATTTTGGAAACTCAATCGTAACTCAAATGGTAAGGTAAGGGGTTAAAGTGAAGTATATCAATAGAAATTACCATGGAATGGAGGAGTCTTCATGAATGTCACAAGACAGTGTAAATGAAACAAATGTCCACAATAGAGTCTCTCTACATGCATATCTGCAGTTTCGTTTGTCTCTGCATTTTCTGGATTGACTGGTAAACATGTTTGCCTGCACGATTGACAATGCTCTTGTGGCAAAGTCTTCACACACCTATATAATATAATTTAATATTAGATTAGGATAGTAACAACGATACACTAAATATTAATAGAGATACATACTTTATAAGAAAAGAAGTAACAATTTTCAAGGACGGTGAAGGTGTAAAAGGTGCTTGTGTCTTCTTCTTAAGTGGTGGTTCCACACATTGTCTAGCTATTTCTTTCCCTTGACCAATGATATGACGTATAAACAATGAAGGAAAATTTGTATCTGCATCTTCTAAGCTAAACATAAAAATAATATATAGAGAAATATACATTTTCTGTTTATCTTTTAAGTGATTATTGATATATACTTTACGCAAGCAACTGGATAATTATCTGGTACTTCAATCTTAGCCTTAAAAAAATATAATCCTTGTTGAACTTTCAAAGCGATACAAGAATGTTTTTGTTTCAACTTTAATTCATCATCATTTTGTAAAATCCTTTTTATGGCTGAGATCTCATCATAACAGCAAATTAAGGGATTTTCATCAATGAAATTACGGATAAATTTCAATATTGGCAATACCTACGAAAATAAAATTTATACAAAAGGAAAACTATAGCAATTGATAAATTTAACTACTTACTTGTGCTTTTCCCAAAAACTTTTTACATTCCTTTTCACAGACTTCAGTTAAACCATCAAGTAATTTCACAGATAAAGTCTTACTTTTCAGTTCAATTAACAGTGGGGTACGGGGATAGTCTTTAGAGAACTGTATACACGCGATAATTGTTTTGAACTTCGTTTTTCTATATTTTTCATAAATAATATAAATAATTAGGAAATCTATAATATTATTTAAAAACTGCGTACAATTATCATGATTAGTAAACTTAAACTTACGTTATTTCCACTCGCACCATAGTGCGTACGCAGGAAACGAGGCGACTACCATCAACAACATTTTGACAAAGTTTTGATACTTCTTGCAATTCATCATCGATAAAGCCCATGAGAAAATTGAAACAAATATTACTCCACGATCTAGTAGCAACTTATCGGTTATGTTATCAGATCGTATAGAATATATAAAAGGTCAATATAGGAAAATCGAATTTGTAAAAAAAAGTTATACAAATAGGTTGTCACTTAGTTACGTTTCCAAAAATTAAAATTATGTCATATAATCACAATCAAGGTCAGTCGAGGAACCTGTGCTTGATTCACTCATCTGTGTTTTGAAACATGAATCAACAACATTGTCATTTTTCATCATGACGTAACATATCTTAAGTAATTGCATGACATTGAAAAGGAAAGGAGCTAGCGGGGAGAACATTACAGATTCATTAACATATTGTTCTTTATTTCTTGTAACAAAATATATAAAGCAATTCAGAAGTACACAATTAAACAATATTAGAATGAATTGTTATACAAATGAAAGTACTGCCTATTTCTCTTATAAAAAAAATACGGAGAAAAAGAACTTTTTAACATAATCATTGCTTATTTACTTATTACTTATATGTTACTAATATATTTTATGGAATGAACGAAAATTGTGAGGTTATTCTAACCAATAGAATCGTTCCTCTCGCGTCCAAAACATAAATTGATAGGCCCATCTAGTAGCGCCATATTCTATGGCCAAAGTTTAACCTAGTGCAACGCACGTGTTTACGGAAAATACGAAATTCAATTTGGATGAGAAGCACTTTACAAGTAACAAAAACTTATTTATGGCAAAGAATCATGTTAATACTAAAGTAACTATAACAGTTTTCTAAATTAGAAGCATAAAAATGTCGCGAATCGTTAACACGAGGGAAGTGATATTAACTAGTGACAATAGTAGTGAGCACTGGAATGCTGCTGTGTGGGACCCTCAAACAGGTTCTATTTTATCGACCTACAAAAGCGCTGGTACTCTCAGTCATCGAACTCTTCAAGTGTTGAGTGATAGTTACATAATCGGTGCCGATTTAACGAAACCGCGTATTCACGTTTGGCCGCTCAACAGTTCTTCTCCCGTTTCTAACCTCAGATTGACAACACCGGGTAAGGTTACCGCCCTGTGTTGTACGCCCAGTGGCTCCTACATTGTCGCAGCTGTTTCTGAAAAATTGTTCCTCTGGCAAGTGTGTAATGGACGTTTGTTAAAAAATTTATCGCAACATTACCAAACTGTGAATTGTCTGTCGTTCAGTAAAGACGGTTCCCTGTTCGCTAGTGGCGCTGAGGACGGTTTGATATTTGTCTGGTCGTTGTATGGCGTGTTAAACGACGAGCATCCGAAGGCATTACGTTTTTTTAGTCACCACTCTATGCCAGTGAAGGATCTACAATTCGGCCACGCCGGGGTCCGAGCAAGATTATATTCCGTATCTCTCGACAGAACATGCAATGTTTACGATCCCACTAGCGGATTACTATTGCTTGTGCTTGTATTCGACGTACCGCTCACTTGCGTTTCCATAAACATACGCGAGAGTGATTTATTCGTGGGCTGTACCGACGGTAACATATATCGATTCATTTTGCATGAGGCGCCACGTGGGATAGAACATCATGTGCAGAAGGACGGAAATTCGAAGGACGTGTTGATTTTCCAGGGACACAAATCGATCGTGGTATCGTTGTCGATATCGATCAACTGTCTGTATCTGCTGTCAGGCTCGATTAGTGGCGAGGTTCACGTTTGGGATATAAACAGTCGTCAGATTCTTCGAACGCTCGAACACAAAGGAGCAATCACAGCGGCATTCTTCGCCAAGTATTACGAGAACTTTCGAGTCGCAGATCTGAAACCACGCTTGCAATTGTGTAACCTACAAAGGATATCCGACGATGCGGGGAAGGAAAGTGTGATCGAGGTGCTCTCGCAAAATCAAAGCGCGGCGGACATCTTGAACTTCGACTCGTATACGGAGAGCAATATAGACACGACGGAACCGGGGAACCTAACCTCTCAGAAGCTTCTCGAGATGAGGGAGGAGATCGATAAATTAAAGAAAATCAACACAGCCATATATCAATACAGCGTGAATCATATTTTGAATAAGTCACATAAGGATTTAACTTCGTCTTGAACTCTTTTACGAAAATTTGAATACTGGATATTGATTGTCAATGATATCAGGTTAGGTAACGATTTTTTTTTTCATTAGATAACCGGTTGTAATAAAAAGTACGTGTTGTGTACCGTAAATAATGATGATTATCTTACCTATCTTTTGAGATCCCGTTCATACGATCCTGCTCTCCTAAGCTTAAAAACAGGATACGTCTGCTAAGGGAAACCATTAAATTACGCTAGTGCCCACTTAATTCTACCAAGGCAGGTCTGTAACGCGACAGTTGTCGAGGGACTTAGTTCCAGGAATTGCTGACTGTTATCTCTCCTGGGTTTGCTTCAGATGAGAGTGAGGAACATTTGAGTGTAGGTGGAGCGTACAATGGCGGTATGTGGCGTGTAGCTCAGGTCCGTACAATTGTATATAGAGAATTTTTACGAATTACTTGTCATTCTATTTATAAATGTTTTAGATAATTATTATTTATTTCCAAATTATTTCTTACAGTTATTGTGTTTTTAAAATGATTATTATTATTAGAAACGAAGATGACGATACATGGAGTATATAATAAACGATTAAAAATGACAAATCGAGGGAAACATTCGGAATTAAAAAATCTGTACAATACAGATGAAAATGCTGAAATTATTTTTTATATATTCAAGCAGTTTTCACTCTAAAAAGTAAATTAATTTCCACGTATAGTATGGTACTAGTTCTTAAAGGGTTAAATTATTTTTATTTTCACTATTAGAATTTACTACGTTTATTTTGTTAAATCCTACATTCTGTAGCTTCAGAAATTGGCAGGAATAATCGTAGTTGTATACCTAGTAGTGTAGTCGTTTCAATAATTGGCAGGAATAATTGGCAGCTAAGCAGGTATTATTGTATATCGTCACCCCTTATGCCAATATCATGAACTCCAGATTCGACAAATTATAGGAATTTGCAATTGAATGTAAAATTTAATTGGATAATTCGGGTAATTATGATCGAAATTTGGAACATATTCACCATTGTTATGCTACATATACGCTCGTTATTTTAACATAAAGGTAGGAGTAAGGGAAGATAGCATTGTTTTACTCAAGATAAATGTTTAATTCGTGTTCGTATTACCGATATCAAAGGGACAACGTCATTCGTACAACATGGATCTTTGTAGTATCAGGGAAATCAATGATTTATTATGAAAATGAGAGGAAAATCGAGCGTAACAAAACATCGTGGGAAATGTATTAACTCGTTAACGATAAAATGATTAACACGTCGTGATACAAGTACGTTAAATGAAACGAAATATGACCATTGCACGATTTAATGGCGGCCAATATTTCAGTCCTCTTTGTCCCCAAAGAGCTGGCATTCGAGTCAAAAATTGAAGAGAGGAACACCTCGTGTTGCTTATTCTACAGTCTCAACATACTGCATTTATCTTCAAAATAGATCAGTATAATAGTTGGCAATTTATTTTCGGTCTGGCTTATACAAATCAATCGATAACTTGATTTCCCAGATTGCGTGATTTAAAAATGCATGTATTAATTTTTCTGTTAAAAATTTCATTATCTTCGTTATTAAACCACTGGTTGCCAATTCTCATTTGGAAATTAAAAAAAGATTATCTAAAAACTGTCTTTCCCATAATTTTTATATAATTCCAAATAGTATAATAAATTTTTAATGACTCTCAATGTTTAGAAATTCTATATCTATTTATATAATAGAAATAAATAATTTATATATATGTGATTAACATTCAGAGTCATTAAAAATTTATTATAATGAAAATTATTATACTATTTATTTTACTATTGTCTAGAAATTATATATCTATTTATATAATAGAAATAAATAATTTATATATATATGACTAACATTGAAAGTCATTAAAAATTTATTATACAATTTGGAATTGCATAAAAATTTTGGGAAAGACGGTTAAATATTTTGAAGATTCACGAATTTTTTTATATGAAAAAACAGAAATAAAAGCGAATGGTATATACGAATATCTGTTAGATAGATTACTCTTTTTTTCACGGACTTCTGAAGTGTACTCAAATTCCTCGTGTTATATGCGGGATTCGCATTACGTATAATAAAACAAGGAGGAAAAGCGAAGCATTCTTGAGCGTGTAACGCAAACCTTTCTCCTCTTCATTCTGCACTATTTTTGCCTCGTTTTGATCAAATACCCGAGTTCTCACTGAATTCCATATATTAATTATACACGCGTATAATTGAATTAAAATTCCAGGAAAAATACTACAGCCACATGATAAAACCTTTCATTTTTGTATCTTTAAAATCGTTTTTTCTCCGCAATTTTTTTCCGAAAGGATGAATATTGCGCGATAATTATTTCAATCCAGACTTGCGTTTCACGTAACAATACTTTCTTTCTCATACGTTCGTGTGCGACGCCGTTATGATTCTTTTATTTAACGAGGGAAAAGGTCAGCCGACATTTATCCGTAAATATATTTTTCGTGGATATTTTTGTAAGAGAAAATGGAACCGTACGACCCTCTATTTCCATGATAAAGCTTTTCGTTAAATCCCTAAGAAAGCCACCGTTTTATCCTCCCCATTCCACCGCGGTTAGTATCGTAAAATGTATCGTGATTTCGCCTGACGTCGCTGAAGAATGGGATTAATTATTCGCTCAGCATTAGTCACGATCATAATTTCCGCTTGCGTAATTTTCCATCGGTGGATCACGGGATTCCCCGCATTTTTCAGCCTGACTACTAGCGCCCTCATAAACCGCTCATTTCGCCACGGACCCTGTATCCCGTGCCAAACATCTCGTTTCAAAACCGTTGAACCGACGTGGATTCTCGCGCTGACAGCATGATCGAAAAGTCGAAATTACCCCGAGTGTAAATTTTAATTAGACTCTTCCATTAAATTACACTTTTGCTATGAGGGAATCTCGTGTTTCAGGAGAACCGTGGGCGTAATTATTCCAATTTTCAAATGATTTACTTCTGATTTCCATTCTTACTTAAGTCATTTCCTTCGTTGCCTCTGACAGTGATATTCGACACCCTCGAGTTAGCACGACTTTCTTCGAAAAAGATATATAGGGTGTCTTCAAAGTGGTGGTATTATCTATCAGAAAGAGGTGATTTTAGAAAATATATATACATTTACGAAGCTTCTTCATATAAATAATTTTCTATTCGAGTTTCCCAGCTTGGTACTATCGTTATAGTACTCGGAAAATTGGACGATACTTTGGCAAAAATTTGAACAAAAATCTATCGACGTCGAGCTGTTATATCAGGGATATTTGTTACTTGACACTAGAACTACCGATCTTTAGTGGATAAATATCTAATATCTAAACACAGTTAATATTTAAACATAGATAATAATAATTTAGAAATTAGTAATATTAATTAATAATAGATAATTTAGACTAGTAATGGATAATAGCAATTTTAATAGCACGATGGAGATAAATAATATTATTTAATTCTATCACAATACGAGTGAATAAATTGCCAATTTCCTTCAGAAATAGATACACATTTTTAGTAATCACAAAATGGAAAATTCCGAGATCTTTCATTTCGACTAGATTGGTACTTCTAGTGTCAAAAGTTCCCCTACATTTTTCCCTAAAACACGATGACGTTCTGTCTCGCAGAGAAATGAAATTCCTTCGAATTTCATGCCGCACATCTAATAATTCGTGCAATTTGTTCCCAAGTGCGCGTGTACCCCGATGAACGTTCGATATTGATTTATTAAGGACATAGGGTTTCCTGGGGAAAAAATGGTACTCCGGACTTTGCACATATTTCTCCAAGTAGATTCATCCCTCAATGGGATCGCGCCACCATCTTGGAAACGGTCTGTACTTTCGAAATCTTCTATTCCCGAACTACATACCCGGAATAAACGAAATCGAATCCGTTAATGTGTATTTCCCCTTCGCAGCGCAAGCAACGTGAATAATAATGAATTTACGCGATCCATGTCCGTGCACAGTTCCGGGAATAAATCAATTGAAACGTACATCAGCGAAACGAACCCATAATTATACATTAGACTTACTGGTCCCGAGATTTAAGCCCCATTCGCATGAGAGGGATCGTTCTCTTCGTGCGATCGGTTTGCAGGCTGTTTCGCGCTAAGAATTATCTGGTGTCTTCACGGAATCCTTAATTCTATCGATTCCTTGTTTAATTCATCGTTGTATTATAATTAATCCGATTGTTACCGCGTGTGATATCCACTCAGATAATTTGCGCGATATTTTAGCCCTTTGAAACGGAGTTAGAATAAAAATTAATCCTACGCACCGTGTAACACACTGTGTTATTACATTAAAATTTTAATTTATTCGCGTTCCGAATTATTCGATTTCAATTAATTTATTTTAAATCTTCAAATTGCCGGGAAAAAAATGAACCATATTATATTATATAATCGTAATAATATATAAATAAAATAAAATAATTTATAATAATTATATAAAGAAAGAAGAATAATATAATATAATATATATTATATATATACCATATTATATTATATTATATTATACTTCTTTCTTCTTAGTTTTAAAATTCATTTAAAGATTCCTCGCAATTTTCTAAGAGACATATTCCATCAAGTATCAGCCGAGTTTCGCTATCCTTGTGTACTTACGTTCGTGTATACAGGCGTACAAGAATTTCTTTAAAGGAGTCTTAGAAAATGCTGTAAAAATCATACACGATACTATCCAAGGAACAGTTCACAATATCCAGTAAAATGGACGACGCACGCGAATAAGCGGAATTTCCTTACCGTCTCGCTCAAGGGACTGAGGAATAAAGAGGAACAGAGAATTTACTATTCGTCGTAAATTTGTTTCGTTGCACGCTTGTAAGCCCCGGTTACGGGATCCTTTGCTAACAATAATGGAACTTTTCATTGTGCCTAACACAATGACCGGCCTGTTTCTCGCGAAGAAAAAGGAGAGGGAAGTTTAAGCGGCGCAAGAACCGACCGGA